TAGGGGAGAGTTCAGAGTGGGGTAAGATGCCCAGGGTGGGAAAGACACCCCACCCCCTCTAGCGGCGAAACAAATAATCTAACATGAAAATTTATGTTCTTAGCGTAAAGCGGAAGCCTGTCTTGTTAGCTGCACAAACATTTTCGAAGCTTAGTTGAGCAACGGTTGGCTGGTGATCGCATGTTTTTTATTTGCTGCTTTCAGAAAATATTTTGGTGTCAAAACATTGTAAATATCAAAGAAGGTAAATAATTTTTATCTCCCTTGCTATGGTCGAGATGCATTAACATGCGTGTACTGTGTCCTAACCAGTTTGTTTCAGGTTGTTGTTTTATGGCTTACAAATTGTACTGATTAAATGTTAATTCGGTACCTTGGGGAAAGATGTCCCCTGTCCTGCTGGGGAAAGACGCCCACCCCCTAGTTCCGTACGCTGTCCTTCAAGCAACCCGTCGAATCATTTATTACATACTTGTGCTGAGAGACAAAAGCCGATCTGGGACTATTGAGAGTCCAATATGGTCGGGTACTCTCCATGCCGGTCTCTCGGCCCACACAACGACTTTTTGGGCGGCATCTGACTCTGAGAGCCCTCATGACGGCCTCTGTGAGCCCCATTATTGACTCCAAGGCCCCTCACGACATCCTTTGAGGGCTCCCACGCTGGCTCCACGGGCCGCGCTAGCATCTGAAGTCCCCACGATGGGCGGCTTGAGGGCCCTCAAGCATCATGAAGACCTATAAGGGCCCCACGACGGTCTCCGAACGCCACCACGGAGGCTCGTTTGGCCGCGCTGGACATGATGGCCCTCACGATGACCTCTGAAGCTCCTCTCGACGACTTTTTAGGGCCCTTATGAGTTATGATAGCGTTTAGTGTCTACCGCAGGCTCGAAGGGACTACTGATTCCTTTAGGCAATTCACGTGCCAATTTATGTCACTTATAGTGCAGGGGGCATCTTCCCCTACGCCAGGGGGCGTCTTTCCCACCCTCTGGGGTAAGATGCCCCCTTTCACTTCTTCAGGAAAATGCTTAATAGCAAAAAAGTTATCATATTTCAGGCACGAAAGTGTGATATTTTTTTTGGAGAAAAATGATGTCGGCTTCCGTTGAAACTCCACGTTCTTGCTTTCCTATTGTCATTTTCGAATAATATATGACATTGCAAAACCCTGGGCATCTTTCCCCACTCTCCCCTACTGGCAGTTTCGGAGGTCATTTCAATTTGAGCTGTCAGCCTCCATCTGTTTTTATTAATTCGTTTGATTTTAAATTTCACCTCATTGACATGACCGAATCGCGCAGTGCACCTATTGGCTGTACCTATTTTCACAATCTAATGAAGTGCTAAGGACAACTTACCTGCACTCCCCAGACTAAGTTGATCATACATTGCACAATAAACATTCGATCGCGATTCGGCAAGACCATTAGATACATTAACCCTCGCCCGTATAGGGGGGGGGGGGGGGTCGAACGGACCCCCCCCATGGTTTTTCGCGAATAACTCGCGTAAAAAGCGGCCGATCGTGACGAAACTTTCAGTACCCTCGCGTTCATCAATTTTACACCTACCCTGAAAATTTCATGACCCTGACCCAAATGACCTTTGACCTGTGACCTACTTTTCGAGACCATGTTTGGCCGGAATCGCGATTCGGCGTATGTCGGCTCGCATTAGCCGCGCGTTTGCAGTCTTTTCGTGGTTTCAAGCGTTCAAACATGTGATATGATGTTGCCCCCATGCATTAGAGTGGGTGTCAAGGTCACCTGAAGGTCAGGTCAGGTCATTGACCTTTGATGACCTCGGTTCACTTTTTCGAGTTTTACATGTTTCTAGACCAGTTTTTAGAGCTGAATTCGAATTTAGCAACCATATGAACATTTACGAAGTAGTTTTGGTGCCTTCGTAACATGTTACGAAGCTGTCAGAGGCGGTTGCCACCTACTACGAACACCCTTACTGGTTGACCTGACCTGACCTGACCCGACCCGGCCTAAATGCATGAAGACATCATTTGTGATCAAAACTAACATGATATTCGTGATCAGCACCCCGAAAAACCCCATAGCAGCCACACTTTACGACGTTCTAACAGGTCCCGATTTTCCCGACTTTTGGGTCATTGACCTGACCTGCAAGGTCAACCAATGACCTAGGACCTTAAAATTGGGTATCATCGGCTTCTTCTCGTCACGGGCAACACGCTCGTTTTTTCCGCGAAGCTCTAGCTCGATCAGGGGCGAAACGGCAAGGGGGGGGGGGTCCAACGGACCCCCCCCCCCCCCTTATACGTTCGCGGCTGGAAAAACACCAATACGGGCGAGGGTTAACCCTCGCCGGCCGAGGGGAGACGGGTGCCCCCCCCCCCCCATAGGGTTATTTCGCGATAGCTTCGAACACGCTGGCGATAGAGAGCTGAAACTTGGCATACCTGACCCTTGATTCAAGCCGGATCTTTTGACACCATACGCATTTTCAGGTCAGGTCAGGTCAGGTCACTGACCTGTGACGTCATAAGTGAACCTCTGCAACGGTCTTCAGATGTCGCAACTTCGCAACGCCCTCACTGCCAGAGGAGCTTTCACAGATAAATGAAACTTGCAGGATCTAATATTCATTACGAGTATCACACCTTATGTCTCGGATTTTTCCTAAAGGTCATATGAGGTCAGGTCATGTTCGTGAACTCACCATTATAAGTCAATGGGGAAAAATGAAAACTGCTATTCTCTGGCCATATTTTTTCGAGACCATGTGTCGCCGACGCAACGAAAGGCGACAGCGATTGGAGCGCACGAGGAACGTTAATATTTTATTTATGATTTTACTGAACGTTCCGACGGGTTCCGACGGGTTATGTTCTAGTAATCTTGACGGGTTTCCACGGAAAATACAGTTTTTTGAGTGCATTACGACGATTCGTTTCCCTTCGCTTTTCGTATTCGTAATATGGGAATTTTTCGCATTTAACGTAATGTATTCATTAACTCAACATTCGTGATTGTTGTAACGACAACAATTAATGGTCCTCCGGGCCGGATCGATAAGAATCGATCCTCTTATCGTGTGCTTTTGTCATCGATTGCCATTGACCCCGAGTTCATTGTAACGTAACGATGACCTACTTTACTCGCTAGCATCTATCTCGCACTGTTACAGTTAAAGTAAATTGTAGACCTTATCATGGAGACGGCTCAGAAGAAGTTACGGGCCAGGAAGAAGGGAGCATTTACGAGACTCTTTAATACAGCCGAAACCATTATCGCATCAAACGGAAGCAGCCACGCAACTGCAAGGTTTACTCGAAAGGATCGGAGAGGCTTTAGACAACGTGGCTGAAGCAAACGATGCGTATGTAAGCGGACTCGAAGATGACAATGAAGATATAAGAATATCAGAACGCTACATGGAAGAGGTGGAGGAGCGTTATAAATTAACTGGTGACAAAATCACGTCGTACTTAATGGCACGTAAGAGCGATGCACCCTCCGAAGCGAGCTCGCGAAGGGCGGGCTCAAGCATACGATCTCAAGTGTCAAGTACGTCAAACCGCTCTACAGCATCTAAAGAAGCCCAAATTAATGCCCGTCTGAAACGGCTGCAGGCGCAGCAGCTAGAACGGCGCACACAAGAGGAGAGAGCTCTGGAAGAGGCAACGAGGAAAGTGCGTCTGGCTGAGGAAGAGGCGAGAAGAAAGATGCGTCTGGCTGAAGCGAGGGACGCTGCAGAACTGGCTGCAAAGGAGGCCGATTTACGCCAGGCAGCTGAGGACGAGCTGCAATGGGAAAGAATAAATGACTTCGACGGAGAAGAAGCTGAAAACCAAAGACATCAGCAATCGAGTGTGATCGAGATGAACGACGAAGGTGCCGCAGCCCCAATAGACGGTCCAGTAACCGAATGTTTGACGGCGCAGAAACCGGACCGGCCGACGAGCACCATGGCTAACCAACAAGGTCAAACAGAAGAGCACGCACCGAAGGAACGGCAGGTTCAAAATTTAAATCCAAGACGGACTGCTTCTGCAACATCCTGGATTTCCGAGGTGGCAAACAAACCGCAAGATATGACGTCAGCAGGGCAGTACCCACCGGGCGGCCATCATCGAAGTGTTCCCCAGATCAAACTACCAATGTTTAGCGGGAAGGCAACTGAATGGCCACAATGGATCGGGCTGTTTAACCCTCGCCCGCACATGGGGGGGTGGTTGCCACCCCCCCCAGGTAGTCTTTCTGCTCTGCACTCAACATTTTTGGAGCTAGAAGGCTGATTTTTCGTATAGCTGCTCCTCTATCCTTTCTTGATGTCCACTGAAAATTTCAAGTTTCTGTGACCTTTGGTTTCGGAGATATGACCTTGTTTTTCAGGTCATGTCATGACCCAAATGGCCAATTCTCGACATCTTGCGTTGGCTATGGGCCTTGTGAGCTTTTGACACCTTGATTTCGGCCTTTTTTACCAGTCTTACCTCCCACCCATCATGGAACATGTTGTTCGACGATGTACAGATGTCAAGGTCAAGGTCAAGGTCAACCTAGGTCATCTAAGATAATTGCGTTTTAGGCAAGCGGAATTTACTTTTTGTGAAGTTTTTTGACTGCATTTTTGGTAAAAGCTTCTCAGATCATGATTTCATGTAATATGGACACATAAACAACCGGTGCACACATCAGTATACACACAGACACACACAGACATACAAACACATATAATTGACCTTGACCTAACTTGACCTGAAATGACCTCAGCAGCAAAAACCTGGTCGGGTAGTGTGAGAAAGAGGTTCTAGCTGGCTTGGCACCAGAAAACGGCATCGTTATCGGTATATGATAAGCAGCGCACTTGATATCCAACGGTGACCCAAAACAGCAACATTTTTTAGTTTGACCTGACCTGGAAGGTCAATGACTGACCTAAGAAGGTAAAACTGGGTATCATTGGATTCGTCTCTTCCCAAAGAATCTTTTTGGTCTTTACCGCTAAGCTCTATCTCCAACAGGAACGAAATGGCGCGGGGGGGGGGTGGCAACCACCCCCCCCCCCATGTGCGTTCTAGGATGGGAAAATGGCATGTGCGGGCGAGGGTTAAAACGCTCATACACGACCAGCAGTGTTTGTCCGACGCAGAAAAACTCGCCCATCTTCAGTCTTCTGTCACGGGGCTGGCCAAGCAGACAGTCGAAGGAATGCTGTATGATGGTGCGCTGTATCCTGTAGCCTTAGAAACGCTCATGGAGAGATTTGGAAAGGAACAGGACATCGTAAATGCCAATCTTTCTGCCGTCTTCTGCACACCACCCATGAAAGAGCTGGACCCGACGGCGCTGGAAAGATTCCATGCTGTCGTCCGCTGCGCGGTCAAAGTTCTTGAAAATATGGGGTTCGAAGGTGACCTCAACAGCACCGAAAACCTTCGTCGGGTCGTGCTGAAACTACCGAACGAGCTGAAAAGAGAATGGGGGCGTCAAATCGTGGAAATGGAGCCAAAACGACCTGGTCTAAGGGACTTCGACAGCTGGCTGAGCCAACAAGTTCGCATCGTCACGGCCCTCCCAGCCAAACCCACGGACTACGACAGAACGACTCGCTACAAGAGTGACCGCTCCAAGAGCCTCCTAAGAACACCTTCAGCTCCAGCAACCTTGACCACGGCACCGAAGGCCAGCATAAAGAGCGCCAGACCTCCGCACGAGCAGGACGCGCCACACTGTAGCTGCGGAGAATCACACGAGCTGTCCGTGTGCCCTTCGTTTCTGCAGCTGTCAAAAGGAGAACGAGCAAAGTTTATCGGTGAAAGTGCTCGCTGCTTTCTGTGCCTGAAACTAGGACATCGGTCGCGACACTGTCCATCGGTAGAGACATGTGAAGAAGAAAACTGCCGGGGAAGACATCATCGCCTTCTTCACGGCAGCAGCAGAGTCTTCCCTTCTAAGACTGATGGTTCAACTCGTAGGACAGTCGCGGCTACAACTCCACGGAAGGATGAAATGACCCTGCTTCAGATAGTGCCGGTTAGGGTTCACGGAGACAATACTTACGTCGACACGTTCGCTATTCTCGATTCGGGGGCTCAGACCTCACTGTGTACCGACCGGCTGGCTGAGAAGCTGCAGCTGACTGGTGAAGTTCGGCCTCTATCGCTGAACAACGTGGAAGGCAGCGGACCGCAGCGGATGGCCATGAAGACATCGGTGAAGCTCACCGCACTGGCGGAGGATTCGGAGACACGCTCAGTGACTGTAAATGAAGTATGGACGGTGCCAAGACTGAACGTTCCGGTACCCCAGCTGAGCTCCTCCGCGCGCTCGAAGTGGCTTCATTTGAACGGGCTGGACATAGCCGATGTTGGCGCAGACCAAGTAGAAGTGCTTCTTGGAGCCAATTTTACCGAAGCGATTCTCCAGAAAGAAGTACGTGTCGGGAAAGCAGGCCAGCCAGTCGCCATCAAAACGCATTTCGGTTGGGCTCTGACTGGCTCCATCGCCAGCTTGACTCCGACTGATCAGCACCATGTGATGCACATTCACCGCAGCACCTCTCAGGAAGACGAGCTGAACGAGCTGCTGCAGAACTGGTGGAAAACGGACTCATTCGGTACCTCACACGATTTGAAGAAAGAGACTTCACACGAAGACAGACGAGCCATTCGAATATTCGAAGACACGACCAGGCTTCAAGACGATGGTCACTTTGAATGTGGTCTCCTGTGGAAAAAGGACGAAGTGTCGCTGCCGGAGAATCGCATCGGCGCACTCCGTCGCCTGGAACGAACTGAAAAATCACTTCGAAGTAACCCTGACAAAGCGAAGGGATACAAACAAGCCATCGACAGTTATGTCTCTCTCGGGCATGCTCGTAAGCTGGGACAAGACGAGGCAGCCAAAGCCAACCCTAAAAGGTGGTACCTTCCTCATCATGCCGTCTTCAATCAGAACAAGCCCGGGAAGATAAGAGTTGTGTTCGACGCGTCCGCAGAGTTCAATGAAACTTCGCTGAATGAAGAGCTGCTAACTGGTCCAGACCTTCTTCAAGAGCTTCCGGCTATTCTGATGCGTTTTCGCGAGAAGTCGGTGGCTATAGTCGGGGACATCGATCAAATGTTCCACCAAGTGCGCATCCAGCAGAGCGATCGACCAGCCCTCAGCTTTCTCTGGAGGGACTTGGAGTGTGGCCGACCTCCAGACACATACGAAATGAATGTCGCCATTTTTGGCGCAAAGTGCTCTCCTGCGATCGCCTCCTACGCGTTACGAAAGGGGATTGAAAGTCAAGTAGAAGTCGGACTCAACAAGCACTCAGCATCTGACATTGCAAAGCAGTTCTACATGGACGACTACGTGGCCTCAGCAGAAAGTCCTAAGAGTGCTGCCGACCTACTTCACACCGTCACCAAGCTCGTCTCCAAAGGCGGGTTCACCCTGCGAAAATGGACAAGCAACTCAAGAGAGGTGATGGAATCTGCTCAGCCGACCGATAGGGCTCGTTCCGAATTGGACGCATTCACTCCGCTCTCTCCTGAGCGCGTGCTCGGCCTGATCTGGGACACAGAACAGGACACGATCGGTCTAAACGTTCCGAAGAAACGAATTCTCCCAACGACGAAACGGGGAATTCTGAAGGCAATAGCAGCGGTATACGACCCGCTCGGTCTGCTGTCGCCGTTTATGCTGCAGGCAAAGCTGTTGATGCAGGTTCTATGGAGACAGCAGCTTACATGGGACAGCCAGCTGGACGAACAGGACCTTCACAGGTGGCGATGCTGGCAAGAGGAAGCCAACATCCTCTCACAGCTACGGATCTCTCGCTGTTACACCGCTCTGGATGGACCAGTGAAGAGGTCAGAGCTGCACGTGTTCAGCGATGCCTCGGAAGCAGCCTTCGGCGCAGTAGGCTACCTCCGGCAAATCGACGCGACCGGCGCTATCCAATACGCGCTGGTCATGAGCCGGACTCGAGTCGCTCCTCTGAAGCAGCTGACCGTGGTCCGTCTGGAGTTGCAGGGAGCTGTCTTAGCTACAAGACGTTGGCGTCACCCGCAACAGATTGCAGACCATTTCTGGCGCAGATGGACCAGAGAATATCTGCCCACACTGATCGGTAGACAGAAGTGGACGAATTATACCAGAAACATTCAGATCGGTGACGTGGTGCTAGTTGCTGATAGTAACGTACCTCGTGGCCGCTGGCCCCTGGCTCGGGTAGCCAAAGTGTTCCCGGGATCAGATGGACGAGTGAGGTCAGTCGAACTAAACACGCCGAGTGGCACATATGTCCGACCTGTCGTCCGATTGTGTGTTCTCGAGGAGTCGGAGTGAGCACGCACGTGACGCAGGGCGTGAGGAATATCGGTGTTGTACATAGGATCCTGAGATCGTTGAATGATATGCAAATGAAATTCAAGTACACATTTTCCAAGTTCTACTTTATATTCTAAATCATCCGCAGTTTCCCGTTCTCGTCACACTCATTTAATTAACACTTGTGCACACGCGATTTTGTTATGCAGGCGAATACGAGTTTCCAGTGATCTGGCCCACAGTATGGTGCCTTTTCCATGCCACACTGGCAGTGTTTTTGCTGGAGGATGAAGCCGAGTCCATGTCTGCTCCAGTCTGTTGAGAGGCAGGTTGGCCGATCAGTCTCAAATGCTCGCACACCTTCAGCCACGCGCTTGGCAATGGTATCTTTGGATTGCTGGAACAGTCGGTCAAGAGTCTCGTCCCAGTAAAACTTGCTGTTGCCTTTAGTTTTGAGCAGTTCTCTGAAGGGTGACATGACCTCAGACTGGGCAAACGCGTAGGAGACTTGGTTAACCAGCCCGAACCAGCTTCTGACTCCTGTGAGGTTGGATGGCGTCGGAAAGTTACGGATGGCGTCGAGAAGCCGTCCCGTTGGTTTGTACCCGTCAGCAGTGACTGTGAAACCAGCGAAGTCAACGGTGTCCGCCCCGAAAGAGAATTTAGAAGGGTTGAACACGACGCCGTGTTCCCCACAGAGCGTGATGTAGTGCACGGTGTGCCAAAAGGCCTCCTCCAGTGATCCGTCCCAGAGCAAAGAGTCGTCGACACACCTTCTAAGACGCTCCGTCCCTGCAGTGATGTCATCCATGCGGCGTGTATAGCCGTCACCGGAGGCGTGAAATCCCTGAGGTGCGCGCTTGTAGCGATACCTTCCCCACTCAGTTATGAAGGTTGTCGCTTCTCTCGCGTTCTCGGCCAGTGATAGGCTATGGTAGCCATTCCATGCGTCCAGGGTAGTCTTCTTTGTCCCGGGTGGCACGCTAGCGACGAGATTGAAGGGACTGGGCGTATGGTGAGTCTCTCGGAGGGTGGCCTCGTTCACCCGCTGGAGGTCTACTGTCCGACGAGGAGAGCCATCCTTTTTCGCTGCGACCACCATCCTCGAACACCAGCGTGTCGGGGTTCCCTGTGGCACCGGCTCAATTATGCCAAGACGTACGTCTTGGTCCAGACCGGCCTTTACCTGTCTTTTCCAGTGGTGGGGGACTGGAATGGGCGTATGAACAGCCGTCGGTGTTGCATCGGCCTTGAACTGGATATCTAGTGGTGTGCCCGTCATCTCCTGGAGTGGCTGGTGCTCGCAGGTATTGAATGCGCTGCTGGCAAAATGGTCTCTGATCCAGTGCTCTAACTTCTCCCTGTTTTCCTCGACGGCTGGAAGCGGCATCTTCTCCGGGATCGCGGGCACTGGTGACCTCTTCAGACACCCACAGGGCGCTGTGTGGGTCTGTGCTTTGTTGACCTCATCTGGGTCTGTGCGCTGGGACGTAACCTTAGATCCGTCCGGTCCGTTTTCGGGCAAAGGGAAGTGTTCCGGCACGACTCCCAGGTCTCTGAGGGCCCTTTCAGATAAATAGAGGCCGTGCGTGTTGCGCGAGATGTACACTACTTGTCTAGTGACTCGTCCTTTGGCCTCAATCCTCAGCAGAAGTGAGCCTATCACCTCCAATCGTGTGCCCGTTACGCCAATGATGCGGTGTGAGGTCTTCAGGAGAAGGTGTTCCGGACAGCGCAGGAGTTTCAAAATCTCCATCCCCCCAGAGCAGGTCATGGCTCCAGTGTCAGCGCACGCTGTGGCGCGCACGCCGTGGTCGACTTTACTGCGCTCGATCCCTGTGAGACGCTTCCCGAATCTGGAATGGGCTTCCTGCATGATGGTGAGCGTGACTGGAAGTTCTGGATGGCGTTTTGGCTGGCAAGTCGTGAACTGACCATCTTTCCACTCCATGTGAGACACTGATTGTGCACTGCTTTGGGAGACTGTAGATCTGGCAGTAGTGCTAGACGGCAGGGCGCTGGCTGACTGAGCCGGTCCGGAGACGTTAGCGTGCGCTGATATCTCATCCATACCGTCTCCGAACGCGTCCAGGGACGACTCAGCGCTTGCACTCACTGGCTGGGCAGCCCGACATGCACGAGCGAAGTGATTTCGCTTCTGACAATTTGTGCAAGTCTTACCACGTGCTGGGCAGGATGAGTGCTGGTACTTGTTGCCGGACGTCCTGTGCCGCCCTCCGCACCAGCGACACGGACTGAGCTCCTCCTGGCTGTCAGCATTGGGCGGCTTGTCAGGTTTGTGTCGCTGCTGTTGATATGCAGAGCGATGAGCCGCCGCAATATCTGGTGCTGCCTGTCTGCTGGTCGGCAACACGCCCGTCTGAAGCTGCTTCTCGCTATCGTCGGCAGCCTGCATCGTGAGAAGGGCCTGGAATTTCTGTGCGAATGTCGGATACCGATCGGCTGCCGACAGAATTTGGCTTTGATGCTCTGGGTTGTAAAGACCGACAACCATCTGCGTCTGTAGCACGTCCTCCTCGTAACTGATCGGGCCGGGCTCGGTGCTTTCTGCGTGAGGTCTATGCGCAGTTACTGAGAAGTCGCAGAGAGCGGCTTTGGAACGTAGCCGCGCTACGAAATGCGTGATATCCTCACCTTGGGCCTGTCGAAGTGCGTGGAACTGGCTCCGATGAACCGCAGTATGCAGGCCACGAACTGCCACCGCCTTTATCTGAGAGAGAAGATCGGCCTCATTCGACTGACTTAGAGTTGTTCCTCGCAAGTGGAACAACTGTCTTTCCAACTCCGGGCTGCATGCCGATAGGAGCTCGTGTCTGATGGCTTCCTCTCTAACAAGTCCAGCGACTGTCTTGTATCTTTCCCATTGAAAGAGAAACAATCTCCAGTCTTCGTCACTGGCATCCAAGGCTACCGTCGGGCGGCATGCCCGTGGTGTTGCTGTCGAGTTTTCTCTCGGCAGGAGAGCACGAAACTGCAGTTCGGTGAGAGTAATTAGAACAGGATTCTGTGTGTTTTGTGGTGGGTTCATTTCATTTTCTTCCACCGACCGCGCCATGAATGATATGCAAATGAAATTCAAGTACACATTTTCCAAGTTCTACTTTATATTCTAAATCATCCGCAGTTTCCCGTTCTCGTCACACTCATTTAATTAACACTTGTGCACACGCGATTTTGTTATGCATGTTCTCCCGACATGCTGATTGTTAATAACAACCACGAAAGAGTTGGTGAGGATCCTTCAATCGTCTCTGAGGCGCGCGAGTATATCGTTAGACTGTGCGCTTGGACAGACGGCCTCCAAAAGGTACTGGAGGTAAATATGTCGTGTGTTACCTGACTATATCGGTTGTTCGGTTCGATTTCTGGGGGGGGGGGGAGTGTGTCGCCGACGCAACGAAAGGCGACAGCGATTGGAGCGCACGAGGAACGTTAATATTTTATTTATGATTTTACTGAACGTTCCGACGGGTTTCCACGGAAAATACAGTTTTTTGAGTGCATTACGACGATTCGTTTCCCTTCGCTCTTCGTATTCGTAATATGGGAATTTTTCGCATTTAACGTAATGTATTCATTAACTCAACATTCGTGATTGTTGTAACGACAACAATTAATGTATGGCCGGAATCGCGACTTGACGTAGGGGAGAGCGGGGAGAGTTGTATCATGTCCAAGTTGTATCAGGGCGAATTGTGCCAAACTTATCCAATAGATAGCGCTCGTGACACGACCAGCCGACGAGGTTTTCCGGGCGACATCTTTCCCTGTTCTGTCGTGGGGCTGGGTGGACGCGTCTCGAGGTGAGAGCCGATTTTATGTTTTTTTTTTTAAATGTCATTCTAAAAAAAATGAGTTGCAAGAAAATGTGTGTCTTGGGCATTTAGATGTGCACGAATTTGAAAGATCTCCGTAGCGGTGGTGAGGGTAGGTTCTAAGGCTGCGTTAGTGAAAATAGATTTCTTCAGCTGTCCGCTGTTTTTGAGCACGAGGATGTTTTTTCCAAGATGGCGGCGAGGTACATGTTGTAGGTATCAGAGCCGGGTGGGGTATGTTGTAACATGTATGTATGTATGGGTATGTTGCTTTTGATCGCGAAAGCTAAGCCCTGTCTCGCGTTTGTAGGTAGCTAGTCAATACTCGTTCCATTTCGGCACAATGTGTTGGCTTCTTTGCTCTTAACGGGCCACTTTTGCATCTAGTCTGTTGATGTTTCGTTCTTTTCGATGTTTCGTTCGGATTGCATTGACCTAACTCTAAGGTTGGTCTAATAAAAGTGAAGCCTTTGAGCATATACATTGTATTAACCCCATTTAATGTTGTTGTTATGTTCAAAACTAGCAGCAAGCACACTCCCTGAAACGTGAAATACCTAGTGATACAAATTACCCCACCATGTGATACAACTCACCCAAGCCATGGGGCAAGTTGTATCAAAAACAGTGTTCTATTCGGCAGACCGTAGAAGAAAAACTGGTAGAGGTAGCGTAAAAGTTACTTTGCACAAAAAAGCAGAAGAATCAAGGAAGGAGATAGTATGGAAATAATGAGTTTATCACGGATAGTTACGAGGTTATGGGTCTCGGAGTAAAAACTAATACAACCCACCCCACTCTCCCCTATAGTCGACTACAGAATGATGTTCCACTCCTCAGAAGCTATCAGTTGACCGGAGCGCTAAGTTGTGCCGTTTATCACGCAATTAAGCGTGTCGATTGTGAGCACTGGGGCAAAGCTATAATTTGTGAACTCAGCCCGTGTGATGCGGCGGCACAGCCTACCACTCCGGGCAAATAATTGCCTGTGAAAAGTGGAACATCATTCTTTAGTCTTTTCGTGGCTTCAAGCGTTCAAACATGTGATTTGATGCTGCTCCCATGCATTAGGGTGAATGTTAAGGTCACCTGAAGGTCAGGTCAGGTCATTGACCTTGGATGACCTCGGTCAATTTTTTTTCGAGTTTTACATGTTTCTAGGCTGTTTTTTTGGAGCTGAATTTGAATTTAGCAACCATTTGAACATTTACGAGTACGAAGTAGTTTTGGTGCC